AACCCCGAGGAAAACGAGGTACGCGCCGAGCACGCTGCGCCACGGTAAATACAGCCCGTCTGTCGAGCCGAAGCCGCGATGCGGAGTGAGGGAACCGGCACAGCTGCAACTGGTTCCAGCCAGAGGCAGCGCCGCGTCGCGGCGGAACTCCGGAAACCTGGCACAGTGAGGTGGGGCGGACACAATTCCACGAAGGACCGCCCACTTCTGCCCCCACCGCTCGAGCCGCGAGAATCACTGGCCACGCCCATCCACCGAACCACAGATCTCCCTCTCTACTTCGATCCCTGCCTTCCTTCCACTCGCAACTCTCTTTCGCTCCACGCCACCGGCAACTCCGGAGGAGCCGACTGCACGGGAGGAACACAGTGGCGTAGACGAGCTTTTGTGTAACGGCTCGAGACGCGCGTTCTGCACCCTTTGACCAGGTGATTCGGGCTGCCTACCCCTACCGTCTCCCCTTTGTGCGTAGCTGTAACATTCACGCGGCGGGGAGGGGGAAATTAGGTTGCTTATTAGGTGTTGACCGAGGATAAGGCCCTGGACGGGCACAATGAATCCGGCGCGGATTAGCGCGAGCGCAGTTGTTCCTAACACCTTTAGCCGATGTTCGATTCGCTTATAGTTTAGAGGATGACTGGGTCGTTCTTGTTCGGCGAATGAGCGACGCGTAAACTGGAGAGCTTTTGTCGAATGTTTGTATACGGCGTGTTTGCAAATGTCTGCTGTATAGGGGTTGAGTTTGGAGTTGATTTTTTGGTTATTTTTGGAGGTACCGGGACAACGCGTTTTTTATTTAGTTAACAGCTTTGCCAATGAGTTGTTTGAATAATCGTAACCGAAGTTGATCAATTTAAACGGTACTTTTTCCACTGAATCGAAATTAATATTTAATAAGATGATATTTATCGCTTTGTTATTGATGCTTAAGTTTTGTAGTAAACACGGAGTTAAAATGAATACAGAATTCCTCTTTCCTCTCTACTAAGTTATTGAAAATAATAAAGATCTGAAGGTAGCAATTTCGAATGGGACTTCAAAGAAAGTGATGAAAATTTGGCCAAAATTCAGACACGCACGGCAGTGACCAATCCATAACGCTTATTTCTTTCATTAGGAGTCCAAATTCGACGGGTCCAACCAATGCACTCTTTCAGTCCGCGCATCGAAGGAAAAAAAAACACGCCCGGCCCTTAGGCGAACGGTTCGCTCAACCACCCATTTGCATAAACAACCAAATTACACGGAGGCGTAGCGTCTGCCCTTTCGTCACGCGATGCGTTACAGGTGATCGTCGTTTAACCATGATTTTTTTCGTCACGAGAACGTCCAGAAGGGAGCACTCGGATGGTTCACCGAGATAGAGAGTGGGGGTGAGAGGGAAAAAGAGTTCGATATACGTATAAGAAATTGGCCGGCTGCCAACAAGTCAACAAGCTAAAGTAGCAAGGTAGCTATAGCAACGTTGATGCCTCTATTTTAATAAATAACGACATTGGCCTAAAATTCCATATCCACCATCCGCTACGTTCACGGAATTTTAACCCCTTCCGTTCGAAAGTTTCTCATTAGAAATATTCATTATCCTTATCTCAAACATTACAATACTAAATACGAATCTTTAGAAATTTACTATGTCAAATCAAGTGATCACTGATGGTCACTTCTCCGCTAATGTGCTGCAGATATGGAACACCCGCTACGACGTATTAGAAGTCTTCTCAACAGAAAACGGACGATTCCTTTCACCCCTGCGTAATTTCGACCCGCTGACAGTGGACCAAACTTCTCGTCTCCCAATAATACCGGTGAAATTCGCGTCATCGATGATCCTCGCAGAGAATCCCGAAGTCAGCGGAGCGGGGCAGTCGCATCCGGCCACGCTTTCTGCGGTCTCTCTCCGCCGGGGTCCGAGGCCTTTTTATTTCGCTCTCTGGAAAGTCGATTCGGCGGAACAGTGGCGGCCTTCATCTTTTTGCCGAGCGCCGGCCGAAGCCTTTGTACACGACATTGTTCGCTCGCCTCTCTATACCGCGCGCTCGGAACTTTTTGACCTGCTGATTTTCTTGCTGTTACACAACCGGCCGTCCTGTCTCGGTCCGGTTGTCCACGATAGACGGGAATTGCTAGACGTCCGATCGGACCACAGTTTCCTTTTTCTCCTTTGACCGAGAACGGAGGTTACAGCTTCCGTTTCCCTGCTCCTAGTCCCGATCGTCTGCTTTTATCTTTCATTGCATTATTTTATCGACAACAAACAATTCCGATGATCGTAGCTTTGAAATTGTTTAATAGATAAATATATAATGGACCATAAACAGAATTCTTAACAAATTTGGAGGTTGCTTCGAAAGTCCACTCCGAATGAAATGAAAGATTCATTGGTTGTTACCGATAATACGGAAGACAAATAATTGTGCAATATTTACCTGTACAACCTAAACAATAACAACCGGTGTACATCAGAGAACGAACTCACCGATTTTAATTCCTCACGATTCTATTCGAGAACATCCTATCCAAAAGCCTCCCTCGTTCTCCACCGAGGCCCAATATCCTCCGGCACACAGGAGACACCTCCGATGTCCGATAACCGAGGAGACTCTCGATGCGGTAGAGATCTGGTAACCTCGATCCGCTGGGGGAGAGACCGTAGCCAGGTCTGAGACAAAAGGTGCAACAAAAAGGACCCCGGTTTTCATCCTTTTTCTCGAGGCGGCCGTGGCTCGAGCGTAACGCGCCCGTCCGCTTCCTTCCCGGTGTTGCGTCCTCTGCGTGGAAAAAACGACAGGTTTCAGCGGCCCCGGACAGGACAGGGCAGGACAGGGCAGAACAGGACAGGACAGAGGGCCGGCCCGGCGAACGATGGGAAGGATGAAAACAGGCGCGGTGCAGCGCGACCAGCTGAAACAGAACGACGACCGTGCCCGTCCGATATTCCGTCATAAAAAGGAACCGGTTCCGTTTGCAATGTAGACGGAAACCGTCGGTCGCCCCGGTGGCTTCGATAACGCCCGCCGAACGACGGGGAATCCGCGGCAAACATCGCCACTGACCCGGCGTCGCAGCTCGTATGCGCGAGCGAGCCCCCGCGTGACGCGATTAAAATCCCGTGTTTACAGGCGGTTCGCGCGAAACGCTGAAAAAAACACGTCGACGAAGTGAGTTGTCGGTTTCCAGTGACTCGGCTTCTTGCCGTCGTGATTTGAGGTGAAACCGACGAGGAATCGTGCCACCGGTGTCCGGAAGAAACGACGGCGGAACGGTTCAATGGCATCTTCTTTTGCCTACCGATCAATGCGATCGACCACATTGCTTCGTGTCTTGCTGATGGAGGAACGACGGTTTGCGAGGTTAAGGTAACTTTAGGATATGCTTGATAGTTGGGCACTTTAGACAGCAATGATAGGGGATGGAGCGGTAGGGTCTGTCTTTCTAGGGTGCTAGGAAGTTTCTGTCGTGATAGTTCGATTTTCGCTAGTGGATAGGTTTCTTGGAACGTTACAGTGACAATTTATATGATACCTCGTATTCGTCTTTGAAAATTGCGAGTTGATGCTTCTAGAGTAATCTTGACGATTGAAATCGCATTGATAATCTTTAGAAAACATTTATGCTACTTTCATCTAACAACTCTATAGTCTGTTAAAATACTCCCCAAACTCTGTTCCTCTTTTCTCAAGGCGTCAATGGTGCCTTGAACGCCCATCTTGTTAAAAATCATGCTGCATCCGAGAATTCTCATCGTGGTTCCCTCGGTGTCCCGAGCTTCTAAGTGGACCCCAGCGAACCTATAA